ATATATATATATATATATATATGTAGATGCTTCATTTATGTTTAATTAAAAGCAAACAAGCAAAAACAACAACAACAACAAAAAAAAACAGACCTAATACATGAAAAACTCTGTTTCACAGACTGTATTTCCGGATTCTACTGCGGCTGCGCGTTGACAAACGGCGTCGTTACCATGACAACCCAAATTCGTCTCCGAACAGAAGCTGGAGGGTACGACGCAACTCAACCGTTGTTCGTGAGGAGTTTGTAAAAAGGCTGGAGGGAGAAAAAGCGATACATTAATGGAGTCGATAATGGAGGAGGAGGATGTTCCGACAGTCACTACAGAGTCCCAACCTGAAGGAGAGTTGGAAGCTTCAGAGGAGGCTGCCGCTGAAGAGTCCAAACATGACGACGAGTTAAAAGCTTCAGACGAGGTTGTCCCTGAAGAGTTCAAATATGAAGAGTCAAAAGCTTCCGAGGAAGCTGTCGCTGAAGAGTTCAAAGTTTCAGACGAGGCTGTCGCTGACGAGTTCAAATATGAAGAGTTAAACGTTTCAGACGAGGCTGTTTCTGAGGAGTCCAAACCTGAAGAAGAGTTCAAAGCTTCAGACGAGGCTGTTTCTGAAGAGTCCAAACCTGAAGAAGAGTTCAAAGCTTCAGACGAGGCTGTTTCTGAAGAGTCCAAACCTGGAGAAGAGTTCAAAGCTTCAGAAGAGACTGTCGCTGAAGAGTCCAAAATTGAAGCAGAGTTTCAAGCTTCAGACGAGGCTGTCAGTTTCTTGACCTCCATAGGTGAGTTTGACATTCAAACTTCCAGTTATGTATTAAAAACAGCAAACATGGGGTGGGAAAACATTACTAGAGGTGTTTGGTGGTGTCAGCTGTGGCTTGTGTGTTCTTCCAGAGCCCGAGGAGCTGCAGAAGTGTGTGTTTTCAGAGACTCTGATGGTGATGTCTGAGAGTGGCGGCATCCTGGGGGAGTTCAGTGTGTCTGTGGAGTTCACCCACAGAGCCCTGGAGCCCTGCGTGATTCTGCACGCTCGGAGCCACGGAGCTATCGACGGCTCTCCCTGTGGAACAACGGTGACTGGTGAGATCAGTTATCCATCAGGTGATCACTGATGGTTCCATGTGTGCTTTGTTGTATATTACTGTACGTCTTCTCTTCTTCTACTATTGACTATTAAGCTTATCTAACCGCTGATCTGGAGGTCCTGGAGGAAGACTACCATGAGTATGTCAAGGTGAGCCCTTTAAACATCACCTCCTTTCAGGGCCAACCCAAACCTCTTTGGGGCCCTGTGCAGATTTTCATTTGGGTCCCCCCACAAACCATACCAACAGTTGAACAACAGATGCTCCATCATTTCTAGGCCAGCCTAAGTGTGTAACATACCTATTATTAGCGTAATTTGTTATTAGGTTATTAGCGTTCATGGTACCGGTGTTATTATGGCTATTGGTTTTAACCTTACAGGAGTAGCAAACTAAAAAATAAAAAAATTAATAAATAAATTGAATTTTGAAATCCTGAGTGGTATTTAAATGTGCCACATTATTTTAACTATTTAAAAGTAACATCAGCAGACAAACATATATTTCCCAAACAGTGGCAGCAGCCAATACCAGGAAGAAATTAGCTTATTATTTGTGTACCAACACAAATAACGTGTTAACTTGTAGCTTTTCCATGTGTAATAGCATTTAGTTGACATTATTTAATGTTCTTTTTTTTTATCACGCTTGTTTTTTTGCTCTTGGGGGCCCCCTGGTGATGTGGAGGCCTTAATCAGCCGCTTAACTTGAATGTCCCTACTTTTAATAACCAAACTGTTTATAGCAAAGTTTATTGTTTTAACAGTTTGCTTCTCCTTTCTAAAAACTCATTTAGCTCGACAGTTACAATGTTGAGAAGAGGAGTCACATGGTGCAACGTGGCAAACAGATGGTGATCAACAAATTCACCGCCATGGGAGAGGTAAAAATGAACAATGTCGCTTCCCGTGTTTTCAGTGCCTTTGGAAAGCTATTCATACAGTTAAACCTTTACACATTTTGTCATGTTAAAACCATAATTTTCAAAACATTTCTTCTGTTTTATAAGACAGAAGACATGCCAAGTGTTATGAATAGTTTTGAAAACATTTTTAGCATCAACCCGTCTGTATTGACACCTGGCAGACAATAGCATACCTTCTGTTGTCAGATTACCTTTGGGTGTATTTCTTCTTGGTGTGTGTGTGAATGAATGTGAGCGAAGGACGTGACCGAGGAGGAGTGTGTGTCTTATCCCATGTCTGTCTTGTGTGGCCTGGTCACCGAGGGATCCAGCATGCTGTTGATGCGTCTCATGGCTCTGAGGAAGAAGGTTCCAAAGAACATGGTCTTCATCATCTTGGACCAAAGTTTACATATAAATCAGACCACTTTTGTAAGTAACTACAGCTGTGCGCGTGCACCAGGAGAACGTTGGCATGTTGGGGTAAACTGTGATGTTTTGCTCTGTTTTGGTGCACAATCAGAGTGAGCTGGACGTGAAAGAAATGCAGGTTCGCGGTGAGACCGTGGAGGTATTTGGGCTTGAGAGGATGGTTGGTTCCGCTGATGCCGACCATTCCACGTGGCACTGCTACTTCCTTGATAACGGGTGAGTTCGTGACTGTGAGTTTGACTTGCAACAAATAGGTTGCACATGTAAAAACTACTGTTAAAAATCGTTTTGGAAAATGATCTAATTGAGATTTTAGTTTACTTGAAATGTGCTTTTTGTTATTAGTTACTTGGCCAGCAGAAAACAGGTGGGATCTCCAGTCACAATGAAGTTTATACAGGAGCTTTCAAAGAAAGGCAGAGGTAAATAATTAAAGTGTTGACACCTTGTTGTAGTTTTGCTGGTTTCGTACACAACCTCTTCCATTACTTTATGGAGCTAATGAGCCGTTCTTCACAGGATGTTTTCATGCATGCTTTGTCAGGTGATAAAAGAAAATCATTTTCCAAGTCTTCTGAAAGGAAATTTGGTTATGTGCTTCTGAAAAAAAGATATTTCAACAAGAGCCCTCTCAGTTATTTTAGTTTTGTCATAATGTCTCAATTTTATCAGATTCCAGTTGTTCTATGCTGGTATCAGAACCACAATTAACAGAAACAAGGTGTAAAAAAAACTTCTTAAGACACAGGTAAATTATGTCACATTTCATTATATTTATGATTATCTCTTAATACCTGAAAATACAGTGTACTCCTGCCCATTTGCAGTTATGTGTTTGTGGATTTGCAGATTTTTCTCTGAACTTCCAGTTATTTGCAGAAAATTTGCCTATTCACACATTTTTCCATGTGAACATTTTTAACATATTCACATATTATTCACATATTCTGCAAATATGTAAAAAAGAAAAATAATGGCCTAAATTATTATTTTAAAATCATTTTTGCCAAAAGTAATTTTTGGCAAAAAAACAACAACAAAAAAAACAAACATAAAAATAAAACACCTTCTTCTTTGCCAAATATGTTTTAGGCAAAAATAAAAATTACTTTGGGCAAAAAAAGACTTACGCCTTTATTTTAGGGAGGTGACAATATTTAAGATATAATAAAGAAAATTCGACTTCAAAAGCTTATATACCTAGGAACAATGGTACTTGAATTCTATTGGCTACCATTTGCAAAATACCCAGTCCAGAACTAACTGCATAAATGCAGTGCTGTTTAAAGAAAAAAAAAAATCCCTCTTACAGCTTTCTTCTGTTTTTCTTTTTTAGGTCATACTTCAATGTTTTAGATCATCAAAAAACTTCAATATAAATTACTTTTTCACAGCATTGGTACACAATACTTTAACAGGTACAAAAATGAAGTAGAATGGGACAAAAATTTAATGCATGGATACAAAATGACCCTCAGACCCTAAAATATCCCATGCAAAGAAGAGTAGTGTTGACAGAGGAGTCATCTATGTTTGTTTTCTCTCTGTGTCAGGTCGTATGAAGATCCCTCTGGTGTGGCAGGAGGACATGCAGTTGTACTCTCTGTATTTGGATAAAAAGGTACCCATGGTTTGGTTTTTACAAAACAAAAGCTTATTATCGGATGCTTATTTATTTAAAGTCGCTCGAGGTAATCACGAACCTTCCCAACAAACAGAAGAGTATTAATTGTATCCCCGTTTCCCACCGTGGCAGGACTTCCTGAAAGCAGAACACAATTCATACCTGAGGGAGCACCCAGAGCTCCGAGCCCTCCTGTCCGATTTCATACAGGACTTGCTGATTGTGAAACCGGACAACATCTTCCAGTTTGCTCGAGAATACTTCCCTCCTTATTCCACCTACCATTCCCCGGAGTCTAACCCGAAAACCCCCTCACCCTGAAACACTTTAACAGGAACATCACCCACACCTAAAAACATTATTTTATTACTCCATGCCCATCAATGCTTTTATGTATTTCATTGTAATTTTTAATTAGTTTACCTTATTTGTTCATGTCGTGTTGTATTTTTAACATAGAATTTAAGGTATGAAGGGAAACTTAAAAATTGCAGACTTGCAATTTTAAAGTTGCCTTTCTGAATTTATTTTTACTTAAGATGTAGACCCAAGAAATGTTTTTAACCATTTAAAAACGTTTCTATTTAAGATGTGCCTCAGATACGACACACTTTCTTGGTAAAAAAAATGTTGGAACTATTTTCCCACCTTGATAATTGCAATAAGACCATTCTTGTATATAAAAATGTTAATACTATTTTTGCTTTTACTTCAGACAGCATGAACTAAATAAAAAACTTTGAAAGAACATTTTTTTTAAGGATTTTTTTTTTATTCATGTCTGAAGCAAATGCCACTCACAACATGGCGGCGAACTTCACGTACTTACTGAACGTTTCTGCGTCTTCTGCCCCGCTGATTTCGCAACGCAAAAAATAAAGGAAACGCAGATAGTACTTTTAACATTAAAAGCTTGGAGTGTTTCGGTGAATATTATGAGCGCTTACCAAGCATTCTAAACTAAGTTGTCGTAGACTAATTTTCTAAGAATAAATAAATTAAAAAGAAAAAATAAAGAACGAAAGCGTCACGTAGTTTGAAGAAAACGCGGCAGGAATCACAATGTTGAATGATAATGACGTTCTGCTTACCGCTCAGTCAAAACATGCGCTCATTTCCTCTGAAAGTGAAACAAACGCATTTCACTCAGCGAAAAGCTGCTTTAATAACCACCACCCAATTTGGTACTTTGTGTTTTTGTTTCGAGAAGAAATCCCCCCACCAAGTTATCAACTTCTGAAGAGACTTTTCTTCTTTTCGACGCTTTTATTTGACCTTGTCAGCCGTCGGCTTCAGTGAGTATGTTAAACTTTGTTCATTTCAAACTTCGCCACCGCAGCTCTCCTGGGGTAACAAAGTTCTTAAAAACTTAGGTCATGACAGGCAATGATACGTAATGCGGTGTGAAAACCTTTTCGATCATTGAAATAGTTTATTGTTTTAGTAAGAACAATTTAAAGTTTGTTTTTTTCAGTGATGACATTATGACATAAGCTGAATTGTTATATGTGTAATATTAATGTAAAACATAAAATGTCTTATTGATTTAAATTAGCAAATTACTTTTTGATCAGTCATGAACTACATTTTTCGTTGCCCTTTATTTAAAGACACACTAACAGAAGTACAAAAATAATCAAGTTACATACCAAAAAAAACAAAAATCCTTAACAGCCTCTGTCTACTATGATGGAGTTAATTGCTTTAACACGGAAGTACTCCTGTTTTTCTTTCCAGTTTAACTGTGCTGTATTTCCATGTAATTTCTCTAGGAGCATACCAAAGAGTTAGTTCAAGTCAGAAGTTACTAAAAAAAAATCCTAAAGTCATTCATCACAGAAAAGGGGAGTCAGTATTGTCCTCACTTGCTGGAATTTATCAGTCTGATGGAAATGAAAGACAATTTTCCTTTTGGGACCTTTTTACAGATACTCTCTGATTATGTTTTTTTATTATTATTATTTCTTTTGTAATCTTAATCCCCAGCAGCTCCAGCTTTGACAGCTGAGATGAACAGGCCACTGCTGGCTCGGATTGACGACGACCTGGACTCTAGAGAGGTAGCAGAGCTATGCTTCCTGTGTAGCGATGTCATCAACAGAAAGCAACTTGAGGAGGTGAGCGGCACATGTTTGGAGATCTTAAGTGTGTCTGAAGTTTCTCTCATCATCTATTTGTGTGTTTTTTTTGTTGTTGTTCATCCCGCAGATCAAGTGTGCAAGGGACTTGTTCGTGAAACTGGAGGAGAAAGGTTTCCTGAACAGCACATTCCTCGCTGAGCTGTTCCGCACCACCCGTCGAGCAGATCTCCTCAACATGCTGGAGAGTGACAGCAGAGAAAGGGAGGAAACTGACGCCTGTCCTGCTTACCTGTCTGAATACAGGTAACAAGAGTACTGATGTAGCAGTGTTGATCAGGTTGTGGTTTGTTACTTTGAATATGAGGTGCAGGGTTCCTGCACATCCATAATGAACTTTTCCAAGCTCTCAGGCCTTTACGATTATTTTAAATTTGGAAACACTGATGTTTGCCATGCATCCATGGCAGATATTTATGCTTTTGACACAAACTAAATATGAAATCTTTAAAAGACACGAAGAAGAAATGGAAGTGGAAGACCAGAGGGAAAAATGATAGAATGATTGAAAGAAAAACAGGGCACAAGAAAGGATGGAAAGAAAGAAGGATCCTATAAAGGGCATCAGGGAGAAATGACACAAGAAAGAACGAGAAAGACACCAGAAAGGAGAAAATGAAACAAAGTAATTAGGATACAAGGAAGGGCAAAATGAAGGAAGGGAAGAGGAATAACACTTAGACTGTCTGAAGATGCCAAGTTATATATATTTAGCAATAAATTGTTATTTGTATATTTAATTATGTATTTAAAGGCACACCTGTGATATTTCTGTGTTTTTTTCTGTGTGTTCCGGTGGCCAGGTGACAACATTTTGTTACCAGTTTCATTGTTGTGCCTTTGTGCAACAACAATATAATAAGTCTAAGTCTTATGAAAAACATCAAAAGGCCACAAGGAAGGAAGAAAACAACAAAGAAAGTGAAAAAGAATCAAGAAAGGACAAGAAAGATACGAAAGGCACACATAAAGGAGGACATGAAGGGAGGATGGAAGGAACTAAAGCCAAGAGAAAAAATACAAAATGAAGGACTTAAGAAAGGAGAGAAAGAAAAACAGACACAAAGACCTAGAAAGAAAATACTGAAATCGAATTCCAGACGTTACAACAGAGCTGTATAAGTTTCAACTTTGTTTTATTTGAACTTGTATGCTCTCACCCCAAGGTTGATGCTGTACAAAATACACGAGGATTTGACCGACGATAAGGTGGAAACGTTGAAGTTCCTAGTTAACGATCAGATCGCCAAACGACAACTGGACAAGAGCAGCGTGAGAACACACCCACACAACAGCAAATAATTACCTCAAATCTCTATGTTGTACTTCAGTGATATGTTGGCCTGTCACAATAAATCAGTTATTCGATTAATCACATGATAAATTAATATGAGCTCCCATCATTTTGAATCGCATGATTTATTGTTTTTCTCTATTCTCTCTCTTTCTAAAGTCTTCAGTCGGTCTCAGCTCTTTTTTGAATCTTGTTTTAAAGAACTTTGTTCTGTTTACAGAGACTTCACATTTTATTATATCTAATCTTTCTGTTGTTGTTTTGTTTAGTTTTTTTTGGATATTTAAAATGTAAAGTTCCAGTGTTAATTGCACATTAGAATTTAAAGCTTGCTGGCCTTAGACTGAAAATGTGTCCTTGCATTATTACACACTTGAAAACGATCTCAAAACAACAATATGATTGTTTATTGCAGCAATGTCTAAGATAATTTATCGTCCACCAAAATTTTCTGTTGTGACAGGCTTGGTGGTGGCTGGGGCTTTGTAGTTTTCATAAAATTTGTGAAAATCTAAAAAAAAAAAAATCTTCCTTTCTCTGAATATTACAGACAGCTTTAAATGTGTTTGCTGAAATGGAGAAGGCAGGTCTGATCTCTAAAGACAACGTCGATAAACTCCACGAGCTCATGATCAACACCGATAATGTACCGCTGGCAAAAACTGTCAAAGGGTACAAAGACAGACTCCCTCCCACAGGTAAACATGAGCACAGTGACACAAGTTTTGTGATTGTTAGTTTTGCCTCAGGGTTGGTAGTCAGAGAGCTACCAACCTTGAAACGAGGCCTGTCGTTTCAAAGGCTTAGTTGCTACAGTAGGAATTAGTGAGCTGTCATTGACTTTAAAAATGACTTTAATGTCAAATTGGTCCTTGTGGTTTTCAAAAACAATCTGAAAATACGCTCTTTCTGTGCAGTAAGATGTTCATTTTAAAAGAGAAATCTGGGGATATGTCAATTTTTTTCTGGATTATTTATAAAAAAGAAACAAATGAACATGTCATTTAAGGATTATGATAAGAACAATAGTAGTTTAATGATAAAAATCTAATCTATTATGAGTCAGCTGACATTTAGCTACTGTTTATTAAGATTATAAAGAGACAAAATATAATCTAAATATACAGAGTCTGTAGATTAGTAGTACAGACAACTTATCAATGCAAGGGTATGAATTAATTTTAAGAACTTTGGTAAGTAATGCTGATTCAGAATCTAATAGTTAGCAAAGAAATTGATTGAAAAACCTAAAGCTGTATTTTGATCTGTTTTGCTAAAAGGAAGGAAAGAGGAGGGAGGAAAAGAAACATGGCGGCAACAGATGAAACCAAGAGTTTCAGAACGTCCAAGCCTGTCAGAGTTATTTATCACAGCAAAATTGGAAATATAGTCCCTTATTCTGTCATTTGGACCCTTCGCGAACACGACCAATGCATCCATCTCCTCTGACTCCGGGGAGCATTTAGCTCTGACATACAGTCTTCCAACGTTTCCATTAATGGGTTGTAAAGTGACAGTTCTCTTCTGCCACCAGGACTTTAGGGCTCCAGAGATTCCCAATGTGACTCTGAATGCATCCAAATTGCAGATGAACAACCTCAATGCCCTTTAAAGCCGGCTCCACCGTGGTGTTGGAGAAAGCATTACCCTTGAAATTTAAATGTATTGTACTTTGCGGATGGAAAAACACAGTTAGCCAATGTAAGAGGCTAATTGGAGATTTGATCATTTTAGAAGGAATAACTTTCTCTTCATGGTCAAAAGTTTCTTACTTTCCGATTTTCTGTCACTCAACTCACGTATGGCCAAAGCCAGAGATGCCACATGTGACTTGAAGGCCCAATCCAAAGAAGACTTTTGGTGTAAAGGGTAAAAACAAGTTCCCAAAATCCAGAACATATTCCTAAATTATTACTTCCTACGTGGCATTGGAGAGACTGAACATATCCAGTTATACTTAATCACAATATTGGCGTAGGCAATTTGGAGCAAAAGCCAGGAAAACCTTCATTGCTTTGGAAACGCATGATTTTGTGAAAGTCATTCTAATAACTAAACTAAAAGTTTATTTAAGCTACTTAAACTTAGCTTAAAGGAACTAGCCAGGAAAACAGAGTGCTTGTATATGAAAGACCAAAGTACAAAGATGTGTTTTATGTTGCTGTATTTAAAATAAATGAATACAATTTATGTCTGTTTGTCTTTCAGGTCCAGGAGGAGGCGTTAACAATCATAGTGCACAACAGGAAACGATGCCATCTGAAGACGTAATTAACTTGGAACAATCCAAGTTGCTTCTTCTACCATTTGTTCGTTCTTTTCAGGCCTTTGTCTCAGCTGGCTCTGTGCTTGTGTCCTGTAGATAGACGAGTTCTACAGTCTGACGCAGAATCCTCGAGGTTGTTGTGTGATCATCAGCAATGAGGACTTCACGGGCTCTAAATACAGAAAACGTCTTGGAAGCAAAATGGACGACGGTAGGTTTTTCTAGTTTTTTTAATAACTTTCTGTCCTGATTTATGCATTTGCATTAAGTTTCATGTGTTGCATATTGCAGTCATGAATCTAAATGTGCTTTGATTTGGATTTTTCTTCTATGTGACGCAGAAAATCTAAGCAACCTGTTCAAACGCTTCGGCTTTGTTCCAATCATACACACAAACCTGACAGCTGATAAGATTACAGAGATGCTCAAAGAGCTGAGCAAGAGGGATTTTTCTAAAGAGGATGCCTTGGTAAGGGATTTTTTTCTTGCATACAACAGTTTTTTATTTATGTGTTTTAAATTATATAAATTACATACACTCACATCACTAATTTTATTAGGTGCATCTTACTAGTATAAGGTAAACCCCCTTGTTTAGAACTGCCTTTAATGTCAATAATGTAACTTTTATAAGAAAAAAATATATATTTTTACATATTTGTTAAAACTTTCACCATGTCGTGACAGTTTGTTACAAGACTGGTAATCTGGGAAAAGATTGGTTTCCTGCACCTCTTCCCTAAGCTGCTATTGCCTTTTGAAGAAATGTGCCGACAAAACAACCAATCAGAGCTAAGGGAAGGGTCCTAGTGCATTTGCTACTGACAGCGCTAAGACCCGCCTCCTGGCACTGATTGGTTGTTTCTAGTCAGCGCTGAGAAGGTAGAGGAGTTAAATTTTTTCACAGATTATCCGTCTCATACCATACTATAATGATATAGTGCCAGTTTCAACAATTAAAAAAAAATTCAAATGAAATGTACATACTGCAGCTTTAATTCCGTAAACAAGAAACATTCCTGAGAGATTTTTGGTCCATTTTGACTTGATAGGATCACACAATTGCTGCAGATTTGTTAGCTGGATGTTCCTCTGTTCCAGCACAACTCAAATCCTCTAAGTTTATTTGATTAGTTGTTACCGTTTAAGCTAAACTTACCTAAATCCAATTCAAACTTAGAGATGATACACCTTAGAATAATTCCCCCCGCCCCTTCCTTCTTATCTTCTCTAAGGTGGTGTGTGTGCTGTCCCATGGAGAAAGAGGCATCATCATTGGCACTGATGGAAAGGAAGTGAAACTGGACAATCTGTTTGATCTGTTCAAGAACGTCCCCTCCTTGTTTGGGAAGCCCAAGCTCTTCTTCATTCAGGCATGTCAGGACGAGGTGCCTCTGACGGCAACTCAAAAGACAAACGAGGATGAGCAATCCAAAGAGACGCCATCCGATTCTGTCTTCTCGGATGCAAGTTGTCCTTCTAAGGATGGAGACATTTTGATTGGCATGGCCACAGTGCCTTACAGCAAAGCTTATCGGCACACAGAAAAGGGCTCCATATACATCCAGGTACTCTGCCAGGAGCTGGAAAATGCAGCTAACAGGTGAGATGGTTTTATTGTGGTAAAGTATTCGCTCCAGTTCACACAAAGGCCCGGTATAATTTTTGAGTGATACCGCCATAGTTGGATTTTAAGCAACTTAATACAGGTTGAATTTGTCATTTGTTGTGATTTTATTGTTTGTTTTTTATGGAGTAGTCTGTGGAAAATTAGGAAATGTAAAAAGAAAAACCCACAAAAAACAAAAAATATTTCCAACACTTAAAGCCACAGGTGAGTCTAATCTTTATGGAAAAATGACAAACACCAAACAAACAAATTTTAGCATGAATACATGTCGGTATGCATTGGTTAATATTTTCTGTTCAATCTCTTTTCATCTTTTTAATAAACTTTTTCTAACACTCCTTAAGTAGGCCACTGGAAACAGTTTTTTAGTGACCTAGCAGTCTGTAAGTCAGCCATTAGTTTACACATAAAAACATATGTCTTAAAGAAAAGTAGTAGATGTAAGGGATGAAGTGAAATAACTGGTTTTAAGCTATGCATTAAGGCGCAAAATGGTGGACAGAACCCGACCTGCCATTTGCTGACCCTGAACATAGTTGGTGTCCACTTGTAAAAGTTTAGCCAGTTTGCGCAAAGAAAGCAGTCCAGAAAAATCTACTTTAAAATGTTTCCAGTTTTCCAGGTTTGGAGCAACCTTGGTCTTCTTGACTATGTTTTGGTGGTGTGTTGTTACGTTGTATAAATCAGGTTGAATAATTTTTTTATTTGTTGTCTTTTTCTTGATTTATTTACAGCCCAAAGAGAGATGACATACTCACCGTCTTAACGCGTGTGAACAGGAAGGTCAACAACCATTTTATGATACGCAATAAGCAGATGCCAGAGCCCAAATACACTCTCACCAAGAGGCTCGTCTTGAGATTTGTTGAACTGTCCGGAACCGTGCCTACGTATTAGATGATCTGATATGCGCTGGATTCTAGTTTACAAGTGTGCATGGATACGAGTCTTTGAGTTTCTGAATGGTTCTGTTTGTTAGGTGAATTTTTGCATTTTGGTAAATCAAACATAAAAGTTGTCACAGATTCACATATTTTGAAATTTATTAAATAAATCAAGAAGAACATGAAAAAAAGGTCTGTCTTTGTTACTTGTTTCATTCAAGTTTATTGTAAAATTTTTATAATAAACTTAGTAAAAAATCTTATAGTAAAAAATCTACACCACAGGCCAGACGACAGGCAGATAATTTGATAAAAGGGTTTGTGGAGCATGTCAAAGTCTCAGGAATGCGCTCATCAAAAGTGATGTGTTTAGCATTTTAGGTTAAAGATTTAAAAAAATGTTTTGATCACATCCATTCATGAGTGAGATTTCACGTTTTGTTCCATGCTGTACATCATTCTGAGGGAAACCAAGACCTTGCAGGAGGCACTGTGACATCAGAATGTCGCACTCTGGTGTCACGGTTCCACACTGTGACATCAGAGTGTGACATTGCGATGTCAGTGTCTTTATGATGTCACAGTATATCTATGATGTCACACTGTCCTTGTGATGTCATAGTGTATTTGTGATGTCACAGTGCCCTTGTGATATCACAGTGCCTTTGTGATGTCACTGTGTCTTTGTGATGTCACAGTGTATTTGTGATGTCACAGTGTATCTGTGATGTCACATTTTCTCTATGATGTCAGTGTATATGATGTCATAGTGCCTCTGTGATGTCACATTGTCTCCATGATGCCACAGTGTCATACTCTGATGTCAGTCTCACACTGATGTCATAGTGCCAGTAATTTGAATATAAACTTCAGGTTCTAAACAGTGAGAAAAACAATGCATAAACTGCTAAATTACTTGCATTTCTCTTTACATTAATTTTATTTAAATGGTAGACATGGCAACTACGATGTCTCACTTGGGTTTTGCAACTGCATTTGCCTAAGAAACTGAAATGAGCATGTCATATTCCCACATACAGAGCTACAGCTCAGGTTAAGACATAAGTAGGGTAAAAGTTTCATAAATCACAACTGTGTTTTCAATCACCTTCTGATTAAACAATTTATCCCAGGCTGGTCTTTCAATTATGTTTTTATTATGTTTGTCTTAATCCAAAGTGAATTAAAAGCCAGTCCAAGAATTTAATATTTTAAGCTACAGATGAACAAATGTAAACAATGTATATGTAAATCAGAAACTGATTTCAGTATCTTTACCCTGTAATGTTACAGTAGCATTACAGAGCCTGTTTGGCGAGTGGTTGTTCCGCCCCCTAGTGGAATTGTACCCTGGGTGGTGATGAGTCATATAACCCCATATCGAGAAGCCTTAAATTGTATTTGATGGATTTTAAGCCTAATTACAACATGGCATAAACTATAGAGTAATAATAGATTCACAGGTTTATACTTAGAATGACTCAAATCGAAGCGTAAAGTAAAAAGAAATCAGAGTCAGGAATATTGTTACTGCTGTTGGAGGTCAACGAAGGAATAAACCAGGGTGGGCTGCTCTGAAACAAACCTGCTAGTGATAATGTAACTGACCCTGTGTCGAACATGAGGCCCTGTTGCTCCCTCTGCGGGTGTGTATTGGGTGTGTTTCACAGATTCCTCCGGACTCCACCCAGCAGCCGTCCTCGCTCCACAGTTCGTGGAAAACCTTGTCACTGTTGCTACACATCGGCCCGACTGCTTCTGTCTCGAGGGCTTAAAAGCGACCTGTCTCTTCTGTAAAAGGACCGGAAGTGAGCACCTCGAGGGAGACAAACTGTGGGAATATAAGAAGCAGCTGGACGCTTCATAATTCGGTAAGTTGAACCTCGTAGTTTCCATGGCAGCTAATGGGGCCTTTTAGGGCTGCATATTCACGGTGGAGTCAATTTTGATATGGTGAGTTTTCTGAGAGACAGAGAGAGCGAACAGCGCCTCAGTGATTCACCTGAAAGGCTCGTTTGTTACTTCATGTTTGGCTCTCCGAATCAGGATGGAGGAGGACGCTCGAGCCTTCCGACTCAAACTTTATCAGCCATGTTTTTGTCCCACGGTTCAGTCAAAATAAAGTCACTTAAGATGTTATTCTTTCGACCAGCAGCTGTTTAGTCTCCTTTCCTGAAACCGTTGTGAAATAGATTTAATGGCTTCATTTTGCTTCTTGTGTGAATTTATCTGTTTTCCACCAACGTTTTCCCCTGACACGGGACGTACCTTTTGGTTTTGATACACGTTTGGAGTCAAATATTCATAGAACTGGTTTTTGTGAAAACAATAGGGCTGGTTTCCTAAAGAGCCACAGTAAGTCATGACATCATGACTCTGAGCCAGTATGCTGATCCCAGTCTTAGATTAGACAACACTTTAGCAGAATATCTTTATTTTTGAAAGAATTGCAAACAGATATAATTTGAGTAAATACATGTAATTTTCTAATAATTTTCATCAAATTAAAAAAAAACCTCTCCAAACCTCACTTTTAAAAAGGTACCCAACATGCTAAACCATGAATTACCTGAGATTAAAAACAGTATTTTGAAAGATGAGTTTGGTTTCTCTAGCTGCACCCAGTCCTGATAATTACCCTTACCTAATCTGTAGGATAAAATATGTATAAGTGGACCTATCCAACGGTGTTAAATAGGCTGAAAGATTTGAATGAAATTTACATTTGTCAGTCTGAAAAGAGTTACAGAGCCATTATCATCAAAACATGGAGGAGTGGTGAATGTCTTTGGCCTCACTGACCTTTCAGTATTACTCTGAGAGCACATTGAAAACTCATCCAGGAATTCACAAAAGAACCTGTGACGGCTAAGGAACCACAAGTCCACTTGCCTGAGTTGGGGGAGAATATAGCATCTATTTATATAATCCTGGAGGTGAACGTCCATTCATCAGTTTCTGACCCTAAGCGGGTTATACATCAGGACCATTATTCAAAAGGTACCAGTAAATCCACCTACGAATGGCTTAAAAACAAGAAAATAAAGGCTTTTAGCCTAGTTGGTTCACTCCATAAAGGACACAGAGGTGGGTGGAGTACCCAAAAATTGTACACGAGTAAGAGAAGAACTACTTCAACAACATCCCAACAAAGCTGGGGAGTGTTTGTGACACAGAAATGAACTTTTTCTGACAATCATCCAAAACACAAAATGCATAATTAGTTTAAAAACATAAACATAGAGGTATGTCTTTGATAGAAAAACTTTTTATTTTGAATCTCAAATTTGACACTAATTGGTTTGACATGAAATGTAAATTCAGGTTATAGAAAAAAAACATCTTCATTAATGCCTTAGATATTGCTACTCCTCATTCATGAAAAAAACTTCAACTCTCTATAGCTGTTTGTTAGCTATAGCTAAAAACCTGGACAATAAAAATAAAATTTTTCCTGTGTTAATTTACCTTTAACACAAAATAGATTCCTGTTTTACTAATTAGTAAATTGGTAACTAGTTTCCTAAATTGCTTACGAATCCGTTAAATTAGTAACTATACTATTGAGATGACATTTTGTCATTCCAAATAGCCACTTTCCAAATATTGAAAAGATCAGATTTATTTATTAATTTAGGCTATTTTTAATCTTTCCATACACATGTAAAAAAAAAAAAATAGGAAAAACACAAAATGCTTTAATAAAAAACAAGGACAAAACTAGTGCAGAAATACTCAAGCAAAATTTAAGTTCCTGTCAATGGCAACTAAAGTGTAGATAGAAGCATGTGCTTCTTATTTCTATGCCTAAAGCAACATCACAATAAAAACATTGCCATCTTTCCTGGATATTTTTCTTAAATAAATCTCCAAGAGTCTGTAGACAAACGTGTAACGACAACAACCATAATCCAACCTACTTGTAGTTGATTGGAAAATTATTTCTGTACGTTTTCTTAAATTTAAACACAGTTTTAGCAATTATTCCACACCAGAATCATTTGTATGCGACGTTGTAACACAGTAGCCTTAAAGATTATTGTTTTGACTGGATATTTTAATAATCTTAGGAAACATGGCTGATCTTTTTTTTTTTTTTTTTTTAATATTTAATCAGATTGAGGAAATGGATTTTATTGGACGGGAAGTAGGAGAGTTTTCTTTTAAATGTTGCACGTTCGCTTGTTCCCGAGTCATCATGACTCAGAACCACATGACTTCGGCTTATTGTGGTGCTTTTATTTAAAAAAAAAAAAAAAAAGACAGAAAACCTCATGAAATACTGACTGATATGGTTTGCAACAAGTTTGAAGCTCCGCCCTGTTGCTCAAACTCGTCTAGAAGCGAAACCTGACGCTCCTCTCCGTCTGATTCCAGGAACCAACCAGAACAAGCTGCAGCTCTGCAGCTTGTTCTGTGACCGCGCTTTTCCAATTCCAGCGACTGTTTTGTGTCCGGTGGTTGCCTGGCAGTGCACCGTGATGTCACGACAGCTGTGTGTGTGTGTATTTTCCCCCTAAAAGCCCTGTTAAAAATGAATTTAGACGCCAACATGTAAATAGGAAAACCACCCACTAATCTGTTCTTTTTAATAGGTGGCTCTGCTTGTTAGTTTAAATGATATTTCAGGCTTTGCTAAATTTTTCCCCCCTTTTTTAAAAGATTTTATTGGAGGTCCATGTGTTTTTAATTAACCACATGCTTATTCGTGTCCACATCCATTAGGATGTCGCTCAGCGTGTTGAAGTGTTAAATAAAATCTTTACACACACACACGCACACACACGCACGCGCACACACACAGTCACACAGCTGGGCTTGAGTTGGACTCTGTTTTTTATCAGTTTATATCTAAGTATTTGGATTTCCATGATTAATTTGGTCCGTAGGGAAAAGCAAGGATATTATTAGTGTCTTAATAATGTAGCAGGGTCTCATGGGGGAATCCACCAGGCTGATGGGTTACAGGCCTTCTCGTTAAGGCCGGACTTTGTTCTGCTTTCCTCTAAAGACAGAGAAGAGAGGTCTGAGGAGCGAAGCACAGTCTGCTTCTAGTTACACATGAACGTCGGCCAGAAAGGAACGTTTCTACATATAAAGAGTCGCTGAAGTTCGACTAGGTAGTTTCAGTTGCTGTGTAAGTGAACTCCCCCTCCTGATAAAGCATATATGAGAG